AGATCTGCAGTCCAAGTTTGGCAAAAGCCGAGATTTACGGTTAACCAACATTATGAGGAGGGATTTAGTTCGCGCTTTGGTGAAGAGAACTGCTGGCCAAAAGAATGCTGGCAAAAAATCGACCGAAGTGGGGTCGAGTGCGACTTCGGCTGCTGTTCCAGAGAGTCCAAAGTCTCTGCAAGAGGTGACAACTACCGAGGTGCCGCCAGTTGTGAATGCAGCTGCGATCAACCAAGCAGAGCCTGAGCCTAATGTGACAGGAACCGAGGTGGCCGTGGTTGAGTTACCGCACTCCGAGGTGCAGAGAGATGAACCGGAGAAGCTATCATCTCCTCCGAAGTCTGTGGAGTCTACTCAGCTGGAGAGAAGGAAGAAGAGAAAGTTGGTGAAAATGTCCGACGTGGGGGCTTTTTCTGGAGCAGAGAGGAGGTCGAAGAAAAAACACGACTCCGGACGGAAAGATGTTGAAAAGGGGGTTGATGAGTCGCCATTGTTTGAAAAATCCTTCTTGTCAATTGATGACGAAAGGGCCGCCAAGGTCAAGGTTCCTGAAGGCATTGTGGAAGAGTGGTTTACTACTTTTCAGTCTGTTAAGTTTCCGCACATGTCCTCGAGAATTGATATGCCAGAGAACGCTAAAAGTGCAGCAAGGGTGCCTTTGATGGTGTGGGACCCGAAGTCCGAAGTGGGAGTTTCTTCTCTATCAAGCGTTGATAAGTTAAGCTACGCTAAGGCGTGTCTGGGCTGAGCTTTGGTGAGTTTGGTGGCTGCTGAGGATGACCACGGCCGAATTGCTGCACAGTTGGAAGGGAAGAAGCAAACAGTGGTTGAACGAGATGTGATGATTGCTTCTTTGAAAGAGGAGTCGGCTAAACTGGAGGCCGACATGAAAGGTAAAATTTCTGAACAAACTGCTCAGTTAGAGGCGGCGCAGGTCGAGATCTCGGCATTGTCCGAGGAGAAGAAGGCCTTTCAAACCAAGGTGGCCGAACTTAAAGAGCGCCTTGCCTTTGCTGAACAACATTCCAATGCGTTGGAACTCAAAGCCGAGGAGACAGAGAAGAAGCTGTTAGAGGAGAAAGAGGAGCGTGAGAAGGCTCAAAAAGAATGTGCCGAGGTCCGTGAACTCGTAGGCCGACAGCGGGATGCACATCAAGCCGAGCTGGCTAAACTGGAAAAATGAATGTCGTCTTATGGGGAAACCATGTATGAGATTGGCTTCCAGGCCGGAAAAGACTCAATTCCCGAAGTGGAAACGGTTCCAGCCGATGACGCTGGTGCCGAAGTGGAGGAGGAAGAGGGCCCGGATTTGGAGTTAGAGATGAACACTTGCCTAACTCTTCGGTGGGTCATTGAGCGCTTCAATGCGGGTTAATACGATATTGATGAACTCCGCTTCTTTCTTTTCCATAAACTCGAGAAGTACAGCTTTGATACGGAGATAAAGGGCATGCACATCGAAGCGTATGAAGATGAGCGGGAATTCTGTGAATGGATGCTTCGCCGAAGTGAAGAGATGGAACCAAATTCAGATTTGCCTCCACTTACCGAGGATAGGGCTGCTCTTCTCCGACGCGCCTATGTTAATATGATTCTGGAAGGAGAAAAAGGGAAGAGGAAAGAGCTGACAGATATCTTCGTTTCTACCCTTGCCGATGTAGAAATTGAGCATAACTTCGATGAAATGACCCTTGAGCAGATACGCGGCAAAGTCGAGGCTTATATTGCGGAAAAGGCCAAGTCGAAGGACAAGGAGGTTGAAATTATCAAAGTCGTTACGCCGGCTGGGGATCAATCTGATGAGGTGCGAGATCCGCGTGATGACTTTGTCCCAGTGTCGAATGAGGCTATTGAGACCGCGGCCAAGGCAAAGGAAGTGGCGGTCTTTGAGCGATTATCCACCAGGATGGAAGTCGGAGAGAGCAGCGGCGCTGGCCATGATACCGAAAAGAAGAATGATGCTGCCTGAAGTCCTGAAGTGGTTTTTGATTATTGCATTTTTAGTTTATTCTTTTCAAAGTATGTAATCGGGGTGCCAGCATGTTGGCATCCTTAGTAGGATTTAATATTTTTAAGTAAGTAATCGGTGAGGTCAGGTTGTTGACTCCCTTAGTAGGAAATATGTAAGGAATTCCCCGACTTTTTAATATAAATTCAAAGTGTTCGTATACCTTTATTTGTGTTTGCTGTGCGAATTTCAGCAAGGTTAGACCAAGTGTACTGAACTCGGTATGGATTTTAAAATGAATTGTCCCAACTCGGATTTATTTATGTCAGTAACCGAGTTGTGGGCTTTTTTGATAAAGATAAATTCCGAGTTCCACAATGATCTTTTTTCAATAACTTCAGCTACTAGTGTAAGTCGATATACAAACTGATTAAGAATTCGCAAAACTTAACACATTTTGAGCCGTACGTAAAACAAAATAGAGTTCACCGAACTTCGTCAGGGTTCGATTATGGAATGGCCCCAATCGATTTGTTTATTTTATGTTCGATAATTATCGGGACCCGCCAAATCATGTTTGCTGAAATGACGTTTGACGAGCTTCAACCCCAACCAAAGCATGCGTAGGATTTAGATAGATTATGGGGTATCAGCGAGACCGAGTGTCGCAATGCTTACATCGGTACAAAATATTTATAGAACCGAGTTTCAAAGTGTTTTACATCGGTACCGAGCTGTTGCTCGGATTTTTCAAAAATAAAAGTCTGTAAACTTTCAGTACATCAAAAGAGTCATTCCGTCCCTTCAGCGAAGCAAAAGGAAGGTCCGTTCAAAAGGAGAATCGGCTATCCGACTTCGGACCATTCATTGACAGAAATTCTTTAGGAAAACGGCATTCCACGGATATTGATGCGGAGTTCCATCAGGGTGAGCAATTCGGCAGGCCCCATGAGGTAGGACTTCAATAATTTGGAAGGGTCCTTCTCACTTCGGTTTGAGTGGGTCGGGGTCAGCCCCCATTACGCGTTTGAGAACTAGATCTCCAACTCGGAATGTACGCGGCTTGAATTTGGAATTAACGTATCTTTCGCTCCTGTGTTTATAAGCAGCATTTTTGAGTTCGACACGGGTACGATGTTCTTCAAGCAGGTCCAAATTAGCTTTCTGGTTATCCGAGTTGGACTCTTCGGTAAAATGTTGAATTCGGTAAGTGGGTTCACCGAGTTCGACTGGGACTACGGCTTCTGATCCGTAAGTGATTGAGAACGGGGTCTCGCCGGTGGAAGTTCGGGTAGTTGTCCGGTAGGCCCATAGGACGTGTGGCAACTCTTCAGGCCAAGCTCCTTTGGCAGTATCGAGTCAGACTTTGAGGCCGTCTTTTATGAGCTTGGTAACAGCTTCAACTTGACCGTTGGATT